GGAGACCAGTTTAAAGTCCAGCTTCAAGTTCCGGTTCCTACGTCCTGTCTCGGCTACCCTCTTCCACTGTGCCTGCCTGTCTGCTCCTGTGCGTGACCAACTGGTCATGCTTCTGGTCCCAGTCTGACTCTGAACCCTCCTGGGAGCCTGTGGATGCCTGGAATTTTGAATCCTGCCACCTGTTTCTGTTCCTGCCTGATCTGGATTCTGCCTGTTCCTGTCTGTTCTGGATCCCTCACCAGGATCGGCTGCCAGCGTGACCTCTGGAACTGCAGCACTGGGACATTATTGGTCTGGACTGCTAAACCAGAATGTCTGAGATTGGGCGGTGCCCCGCCCCCACCCCGCCTGCAGTGTCCGCGAGCCACAGCTCCGCTTTTGTTTTGTTTTTATTCAATAAACGTTTGAACTTTCCTACTGGCTGTCTCTCCTTGAATACTGGGTCCATCTGTCCTCGGTTTCATGACAAGTTCAGTTAGTTCTTTTAAGTGCACTACGTTGAACGTATCAGTGTTTCTCTGTGCTCCTCTCTGGTTGACTGACAACCAGTACAGGGTAAACTCTACCACCTTGTGACTGCTGGAAATAGACACCATCCTCAGTATTCCCAGACCAAGGAAATGCAAGTATAGATAGGTTTCATAGATACTTTTACTTCTGCCACCAAGCTAATTCTGCTATTTTTCTGGTTTAACAAGGTTGGCATTTATTTAAATTTGATAAGGGAGGCTCTAAATTGGTACTTTGCCGTTTATTTCTCATAAAAGAAGCTGGTTTATCAATCCATCCGCCTGGTACACTATTAAACAGGAAGGCTTATGAGAAAATGTACTAATGTCACAAGGAGCAAAATATTTTTGTTCTTTGAGTCCATGGAGGTGGACAGGAACTCCATGAACAACTGGAAAAGCTTATTGATCCTTGCAAATTTGCAACAAAGTCAGCTCTGTGTTCATACTAAACTATTCTATTTAGTGTACATGAAGGCAGATGTTAAACCAAGCCAGTTTCTGAATGATTCCTGCCATAACGATGTTTCAGTAGTTACAGAGGATGGAGAGGTGGAGACTGTGGGCTGCACATCTCCAACTGGACCTGGCCGCTTTTGAGATTTTGAGATAAAAAAAATAAATGTGTCTTCTAGACATACACACACTTAGAGACACACAGAAGGTAGCATAGCCAGTGGTGTGCTGAAACAAACTGAAGCGATGGCTCATATATTTCAGGTGGTGAAACTTGTCTCTTGACATTAGATGGATTTCATCACTCTCATTTAACTGTAAATTAAAAATGATAACCTTCTGGGTTGAGGAAAAGGTCTTCTTCCACAGAAACTGTCCCCTCAGGTCTGCATACTGAGCAAAAATGTGTTTGTTAGCAGGAAGTATAACAAGAGTAATTTCTAAGTTTGCTTGTATTATGACCCCGATTAAGTAATTGAAGAGATGCTCGATGGTGGTCAGACTGACCATTCTTCAGCTAGTAAAATAAAAATACAAAAAAAACAAGAGAAAAAAATAACAAATTTAAAAGGCGTATAGAGTTCGATTATTATTTCAACATGCTTAACTTTAAGAAGTGCTAACATAAAACATGCTCAGAAAGCTAATAAAGAAGGCAGGATCTGTTCTTGGAACCTCTGGAGATGATTTCACAATGAATAATTTTTTATAAACTGGATAACATTATGGACAACAGAGAGCCTCCTCTCCAGAATATTATTAAACAGCAAAAGAATCTTCAGTCAGAGGCTTCTTTAGATCTGTGCAGGACAGACCGCTACAGAAGATTCCTCCTGCCTACAGCCATCAACACCTAGAACATCTCATTGAAAAATTGTTAATCAGTTACTGCATCATTTCATTTCTTTTTAGGATTAATAACGTATCTTGAACTGAATTTAATTGTATATTTTCTATTTCTCAAAATGTTAAGAAAATTAATGAATTTGTCATAAAATATTGACTCTGATATAACTTGTCAAAAATGTTTGTACAGTACAGTCAGGGAGTATTGTACAATAACACATAAAGTTTATGTTTTGCTTATAGTAATTTATATCTATATATATTTATATATATATATATATATATATAAAAATATTTTTAAAAACTCATCAAAAAAGACTGAGTAACCTAATAATAAAGGCACTACAATCATTTTTTTTCCCCTTACGGAGATAAAAGCTTGTTTGTGATTCAACAGAATTATTCTCTGCAGCTGCTGTTCAGTTTCAGTTCACTCTGACTGAGGGAGGTTTTTGTACAGCCGATTTTAACTGTGTGAACATCCACTGGTCGCTAACATAGCATTGGCCCTGACAGTAGTAAATTGCAGCATCATCAACCTGAACTTCACTGATGGTCAGAGTGAAGGCAGAGTGTGATCCACTGCCTGTAAAACGACTTGGAGTGCCTGATGCTCGGGTACTGGCATGATAAATAAGCATTTTAGGAGTTTGCTCATCTTTCTGTTGAAACCAGGTTAACACATGGTGCA